TTAGTTGGAGAGTTTTGTCACAGCCCGAGACCTTGTTCTCCCGAGTTATGATTGGGAAATATTGCCATAAAAGCTCTTTCTTGCAGAGCACTCCGCCGGCTAACGCTTCTCATGGGTGGAGAGGTATCATAGCTGGAAGAAGGATTTTAACAAAAGGTTTAGGGTGGCTAATTGGCAATGGAGAGTCCATAAGGGTTTGGGATGACCCTTGGTTGTCTTCTTCGGAACCAGTAATCCCCTATGGACCACGACCAAGGCATATAGCGGAGCTCCGAGTCTCGGATCTTATTGACCATCATACCCATTCTTGGAAATGGGATCTTATACGCCTACATCTGCCAATGTACGAACCCCATATACGGCTCCTAATGCTAGGTTTTACTAGCCACAACGACTCCATGGCTTGGTTACTAACCAAGAATGGTGAATATACAACAAGGAGTGGCTATAGCACAAGGGTTAGTGAGGCGGCTACGACTCAAGATCGAGCGTTTAACTAGCAAGCAAAGCTATGGAGTATCAAAACTCAACCAAAGGTAAAGTCCTTTCTTTGGAAAGCATCAGTCAATGCACTGCCGGTGGGTGAGCGACTACAACGCATAGGCATTGGGAATTCTTCAGCTTGCATACGGTGTGGTGCAACGGAGACAGTGGAGCATTTGCTCTTCCATTGCCCATGGGCGAAAGAAGTCTGGTCCCTAGCACCGATCACAACAATTAACTGGAACTCTATCCTCTTTGTGCTTGATTACTTAAGCGAGATGATACGAACCCCGGTCCTTCCACCTGTTGGTTTGAGTTACGCGTCACTACAGTCTTGGATTTGCTGGAATCTATGGACAGCCGCAACCTATCTATTTTTGAGCAAAAGGACTTTATAGCAAGAGATTTAGTGGAAAAAGCTATTCGGGAAGCAAAAGCGTGGCAAGCGGCACAAGAATCACTGACCAAGAAGAAGCATCAGATGGTGACATCTCAGTCCTCCTTACCCCCGGTTAAGGGGAGTGTGTTTCTCAGATGCAGCATGGAAGAGTGAAGCGGGACATTGCGGGTTAGGCTGGTACTTTGAAAACAGTGAACAAAACATCAAAGAGGAGTACTTAGTTTCTATGCCAAATGTGAATTCGGCTTTAGCGGCTGAAGCATGGGCCATTATAAAGGCCCTTCAGAAGGCTCGAGAGAAAGGTATACAAGACTTACACGTATGCTCTGATTCACAGGTTTTAATTAACCTACTTATCAAGAGAGAGAAGCATACCGAGATCCACAACCTTCTCTTTGAGATAATGCTTTTAACATCATATTTTCGATCGTTAAAGTTTTCTTTTGTATCACGAAACGCCAATTTGTTGGCTGATTCGTTAGCGAAAAGAGCGTTTGATGCTCTTGTATTGTCGACGAGATCGACTTAAACCCTTTAATAAAAGTATTCGTTAGACCAAAAAAAAAATTTCGTTAATTTGGATTAGTTAGTTGGAAAATTCTATCATTGATCCTATTATGTGAGTTTGAAGTTACTCTTGTGAACCCATATGTTCTTATTCTTTTTCNTACGATTTTGAGTTATGGGCCATAGCCCACTACTCTTCTTGATTTTTGTTAGTGTTTTAGTAAAAAGAATTTGTATATTAGGCCCAATAAAACTTATGTATTTTTAATTTTTTAATATTTACTTGTTTTTTAAAAGGAAGAATTAAAGAAATAGACCAATTTCATTTAAAAAAAAAAAAGATTATGTTAGAGATTCCTTGTTTGTTTTGAAAGGCAAAAGATTGAGTTGCCTCATCACATAAATGTCAATATCTCTAGACCACTTTTTAAGAATATTTGGTTTGAAATTCTTTTCGCAAAACTCTTATCTTGAAACTGACAAACATATCTAAAATATTTATGATTTATGTGTTTAGGAATTATTGAGTTGTTGCCAAATTTGAATTCGATTTGCAGTTAGACCTTACCTTGGATNAAGATCAAAAANATTTTCCAACAACTAGNCAACGAGATCTTTGAACGGATATACAAAATGCTATTTAGGTTCGTATGGATTGACAGAAAAATGCTTTTGAAACTAGTTGGTCGCAGGTTAACAAGCAAGACTTTAGTATGGCTTTAGTTTCTTTTAAGCTCGCTTCATAGTCTTTTTACTTGCGAGCTTCAACTTCTAGTAACTTGGTTTGAGCTTCTTCGAATTTGCGTTTAAAGATTGCTCACACCGCTTTAGATTCTTTTAACTCCTGTCTNAAAAGACATGTGTTGGTTTTTGCTTTCTNANCTTCTCCAAAGTCGNCTCGGCTATCTCTCGAGACTTTTTATCTCAAACGTGACTTCTATATCGGTCTAAGAAAGAAAGAGTAATTCCTTTGAAATCGAACCATTGACTTGTCTGATTGTCATGGGTTCATTCCGATGTAGTCACTTAGTAGTTAGTAGTTACTATATCTCTTCAACATGCCAAAACAATAGTTGCTTCTTGATTGAGTGAACCATCCAAACCATCGAGAGTTGGGATGTCTTGATGCCATNGGTTCATTCCGATGTAGTCACTTCGTATTGCGTTAAGGCCAANCTAACTTTCAAAACATATTTCTTGTTTGGCTCGATGCAGGGAGGCCCAAGAGGCATGGGTATTGGGACTCCAAATTTTTATGAGTTTTTAGAATTAAAAATAAGCCCTCGACATTTTTGTTCTTTTACGAAAAGCCCCAAAATTAAAAATCTATCTATAAACCACCTAAATTTTATTTTATTTTGGTTTAGGGGCCTTAAATCTCAGGACGAGCCGACGTGATCCAAATCTAAAGTATAGTTGAAATTCGTTATAGAAAACAAAAAGAAATATGGACATTCTTGCATACCTCTATTCTCTTTTTGTGACCCCACGAGCATTATCTAGTGTCCGTCTTTAGAGAATCAAATCGTGGTTGAGTCGTAGAAGAAATTGTCAAATAGAAATAGTAACGACTAAATTTCGATAAATTCTTTGAAAATTAAATATATTATGATAGAAGTAAAATTTGAATAAAACATAAGTAATATTTATATTTTTTAATTATTCAGTTAAGCTTAAATTGAAACTAATGAAAAATTGCGGTATAT